ATGCTTTGAATTATAGAAATGCAATTTGGTATAGAGCTTCTTGTTGAAAGGGTACAGCTTAGTTTTGATTCTTGGCTGTCTGTGAAACCTTCTTTGCAGAGTTATGCCCCTTCGAAAATTCTTTGAGAATATGGTTTTTGTGTTGCCTGCAGAGCTGATGGACACTTAGGGATCACTTGTCCATTGTTATGCATTATCGACGGCATCCGTATGAAAGTTTTCCAGACTTTTTTCGGTTATGCTTTGAGTTATCTGAATGAAATTAAGTATATGGCTTCTTGTTGGAAGGGTACGGATTAAGATTGATTCCCAGCTCTCTGTGACGCATCCTGATAGAGTTATACTCCTTTGAACTAGAATTCTTTGGGAATATTTTTTTCTGGAATTTTCTTGATTATGCTTCGACTTATCAAAATGCAATTTTGTATGCGAGTTCTTGGTCAAAAGTTACGTACCGAGTTTGCTTCTTGGCAGCCTATAACCCTTCTTGGCGGTGATATGTCCCTTTGAACTTGGAAAATTTCTCAGGAATATTGCTCTGCGCAGTTTTCCCGATTTCTGGGTGACCGTGACACTTTATGCAGGCGACACAAAAACAGTTCCGAGGAACTCTTTGTTTCTTTATTGCTCTAGATGCCAGTGATGGGCCTCTCATCTGTTGTTCATTAATGTAGCCTTCAGCTATTACAAGGATATGCCCTCCTCAAAATTATCCAGGCTGTCCTTGGGCCAAATAAAAAAAGTGAATGATTTTGTTGTGTTGAGTAAGATGTAAGCTGTTGACCATTGAGTCCTGTAATAAGCCCAATTCCTGACCTTGAATAAGTAGTATGTGTTGACCCCTTGGGTCCTGTAATAAGCCCACGCCCTGACTTGAGTAAGCCCACCCCTGACTTGAAAGAGAAAGATAGATATTGGTCCTTTAATAAATATAAGATAACAGATATTGTCATGAGTTCCCCCAGGCTTATCACATGGTAGAAGATGGTCAATTATGATTTCTCACATTCATCTCTGTTTAAAAAAAAATTTTGTCTATAAACTAAAACTATTTTCATGTTAAGCTTTATAATGATGCCAGTTGCCAAAAAGTGTAACATTTCAGGTCAAGTTTTAAAAAATCAATAATACAGCAATTTGTAATTAAATAAATTTCCATGAATAATGAACACATGTGATTATATTATCAAGTGACTACAATGAAACCGTGTCATATATTTAACCAATGATCAAATAGGTATTTCCTCTCTGTAAAAGAAAACATTGTTATTTCCCTCGTCCATCTTATTTAAATTAATGCAATTATTCTCATGCAGAAATATAAAAATTTTGAGAAACCTTGTATGCAATACAAGATACATCTAAAATAAAAATCCTATCATAAATATATGGTCAGTTTTATATGTTCCACTGACAATTATCATAGATATTCTTTCGCATGTTGATAAATATTGTTATGGTCTCAGCTATCTTCTGGTCATCTTATGAAATATTTACATGTATACATTTTGTATCCTGTAATAAGCCCACCCCCTGTATTGTACCCTATGCTATTTGCATGTGGAAATAAAGAAGATTAAAATTGAGGAATGTTTTCACACTATTAACATGTCTGACAGTTTGCCATCAGACTTTTCAGTTGTAGAGTTTGGGGTAAGGACATTTAAAATATGTTAGCTTTTTGTGACATTATGGGCCATGGTTCAGTGAACGTCAAGCCAAACAAGCTTTGTTAGTTTAAAGTCCTTCAAAAAAAATAATAAAAAAAAAAAGTGGAAAAATTTTTCATTTCTTATTATAATAAACTGTGTTGTGATTAAACACCACAATAAAACAAGTTATGAGATAAAATCTCTTTGTTATGAAATAAATAAAAATGATAAGAATTTTACAGACTCAATGATAAGCAGACCTTATGAATATGTAGATTAAAAAGGTTTAAGAGTAATGTTGGTTTAAGATCTGTTTAGATCTCGGTTACTACATAGGTGTGTGAGTGTTTAGAACATTTAGCCGCAAGGTGAAAATGTTCGATAAAAAAATACCGGTAATGATGTTGATATGTTTAGGAACAATCAGTGGTTGATTAATCGGTGACCGAGGCGACCTGATTCGGGTTCGTTGGCTCTACCTAGTACAATGTATCTATGTACCTCTGGGTCATACAGATTGTAAACATAGAAATAGTATTGATCGAACCCTGATCCACGACACAAAGCCAGTGAATGCTGTGTACATTGTAGGGCCGATGAATAGGGTCGGAATGTCGTGCAGGATTAGTGTATATTGTTGTTGTCCTTTTGACAACACCATGGTTTACTGCGAGTGTTACCTGTGGGGCTGAGTATTGAGTAGGATTCACGTGGTATAACCTTTATTGTTAGTGGATTTTATTTCCTTTTGTGAAATCAAATTTGTTACATAAGAAAAAATCAATCAAGAAATTTGTTATATATTTATAAAACAAAGTCTCAACAATAAAAAATTATTGAGTTTATTATGAAATATTTTACAAAATTGAATTTTCATTTGAGTAATAATTACCATAACTTAAGTACACACACGCATGCATGCAGACACTCAAACACACAGACACACACAAGGTTACTATAATTATTACAGGCATTAGGAAATTGTCTTTGAAATTATTAATAAAAATAAAATAGGTGTATTTATATAAAAATTCATTCATTAGGGATGTATGCTACTGGATGTGATTTATACCCCCTCTTCCAAAGAGTTCCATAGAAATCTGTTGATAAATAGATAATGAAAAAAAAATATAGATAATAAAAAAAAAATTGTGTATTTATCATTAGTTGATAAATCACAAAATGAAAAATAGAATTGTGGGTAAATAAGTCACCAGTACCTTATGTTAATAATAAACATGGGGATATTTATCAGGAATAATTGATAATTTTTTTATCTTATATTAGTGTACCATTAGGAATATATGCTACTTGATGGGATCTAAACTTTGTCCTCTAAATATTTCCACAGAAATCTGTAAAGGTGATGTATTTGGTTACAATTGAATGGTTTCATGCAAGGTGTGTCACTTTAAAGTATACTAAAAAATATTACTCATTTAGGGCTCAGTGTGTGAACTACCTTCTTACCAGTGTTATAACACACATCACATAACTACCCTGTTATCAGTGTTATAACACACATCACATAACTACCCTGTTATCAGTGTTATAACACATCACATAACTACCCTGTTACCAGTGTTATAACACACATCACATAACTACCCTGTTATCAGTGTTATAACACATCACATAACTACCCTGTTATCAGTGTTATAACACACATCACATAACTACCCTGTTATCAGTGTTATAACACATCACATAACTACCCTGTTATCAGTGTTATAACACACATCACATAACTACCTTCTTATCAGTGTTATAACACACATCACATAACTACCCTGTTATCAGTGTTATAACACACATCACATAACTACCCTGTTATCAGTGTTACAACACACATCACATAACTACCCTGTTATCAGTGTTATAACACACATCACATAACTACCCTGTTATCAGTGTTACAACACACATCACATAACTACCCTGTTATCAGTGTTATAACACACATCACATAACTACCCTATTATCAGTCTTATAACACCCATTACATACTGAATGTATAGGTTCAGTACATCCTTCTTGGTTTTCTACGTCAAGGGAACAATGACACATACTTGTCACAATTGCTCTTTAAAATTGAGAAAGTTTACATGCCATATACAGGGAGTGTCCTGTAAATCGCTTGTTTTGTGGTTGGAAATGTTTCGATGATTCAAAATGTGAGTTAATAGCTAGGTTTGTTAACTTTTGATGTGGCTTTGTCAGCCGTTTTTTTTTTGTCCTTTTTTTTTTTAAATGTGGATTTGGCGGCTGAGTTTGTTAACTTTTTGATGTGACTACGGTGGCTGTTTTTTTTTTGTCCTTTTTTTTTTAATGTAGCTTTGGTGGCTGAGTTTGTTTACTTTTTCATGTGGCTTTGGTGGCTGGGTTTGTTTACTTTTTCATGTGGCTTTGGTGGCTTGGTTTGTTTACTTTTTCATGTGGCTTTGGTGGCTGGGTTTGTTTACTTTTTCATGTGGCTATGGTGGCTGGGTTTGTTTACTTTTTCATGTGGCTATGGTGGCTTGGTTTGTTTACTTTTTCATGTGGCTTTGGTGGCTGGGTTTGTTTACTTTTTGAGTTGGTTTTAATGCCAGGATATTTGCCTTTTCCTATCAATTTGTATAATCCCCAATAGATAAATGAAGTATATTGGTTAACCATGACTGTTAACCTTCAGGATTAATGTCATTGTATCAGATGTACACCATCATGGTACAAACCTTCAGGATTATTGTCATTGTATCAGATGTGCACCATCATGGTACAAACCTTCAGGATTAATACCCTGTCATTGTATCAGATGTACACCATGGTGGTACTTCCAACAACTTTGGTTAGGAATTTGTGAATCGTTCCATTTCACTAATTTTAAGTGATGTAGTAGATTGTCTTTTCTGTCTTAGTTGGATACTGTAGTACTTTGCACTTCACTGATTTTAGGATATTATAGTACTTTCTCCTTCACTGATTTTAAGATATTGTAGTACTTTCTGCTTCACTGATTTTAAGATATTGTAGTACTTTCAGCTTCACTGATTTTAGGATATTGTAGTACTTTCCACTTCACTGATTTTAGGATATTGTAGTTCTTTTCGCTTCACTGATTTCAATAACATTTCGTGGTATGTTTCACTGAGTTTATTTTGTTACACTTTGTACTGCACTGACTTGCGTTCTATTTGGTGGTACTTTCCACTTCACCGACTTTAGTTGTAGTTTTGTAGTACAGCAATTACGGTCAAATTTATTTCCATGGAAAATAGGAGAAACATTTTGATACAATTTACAAAAATCTTTGTGTGTAATCCTGTTTTTCTCCACATGATGCTTAACTCTGTTTTTTTGTTACAGGGTTGCCCATAGAAAAGGGAATTGAGGTGTTGAACCGACAGGACAGCCAGCATGTGATTGCTCAAAAGAATGTGAAGTTGCTTCTAAACTGTTCGGTGACCTCCAAATTTGGTGTTCCTGAGATTACCTGGTTAAAAAACGGGGTTCCCCTCAACCTCGACAACCGGATATCTAAGGATGTCAACGGCTCGCTTTTCTTCAAGAAAGTAGTCAACAAGAGGAAGAAAAACATCACAGATGAAGGCCTTTACGAATGTCTCGCTGCCAACTCCAAAGGAATGGTGTTGGCTCGTCGAGTCAAACTGGAGATCAGTGGTGAGTTTGGCTTGAATCATGATAGTTTTACCTCAAACTTACATATAACTGCTGTGTCAATATTTCAGAGTTCAACCTTTTGTTTACAAAAAGGATAACAGTTGTCTTTTTGTAAACATGAAACAAGCTCTTCAGAGTGTTCTTTACAGGGCAATGTATCCATATCTTAGGTCATCCATAAAAACACAATTACAGATTTCAAACAATTTTCCATTATTCTGTAGAGTAATTCTGCAACATCGTATTAATGAATTGATGAAATATCCTTTCGTTGTACTTTTTCCCTGTAAATATTGATTTTGCAAAATAGAACAAAATTTAACATGAAGATATTAACATCAAATTAAAACAACTGTTTTGATGTGGTGATTTTTTTTCTTTAACAGGGTTAAAAGACTAGAAAGCTTAATTATTATTCTGAAATATAAAAATTTAGATGCCACATTTTACAATGTAAATTTTTTATCGTGTTTGTGTTTAAGTAGTTGCATCAAAATGTAGACTGAAGACATCTATTCCAGAATTTGTGAATGACCAACACCTGATGTTTAATTATGATAAAGAATGAAAATTGTTGGAAACACTTTAATCAAAATTTAGAAAACTGAAAAATTTTGTGGGAGTCACCACTTGCTAATGTGTTGCTGAAAAAATTAATTTACTTTACTAGACTTGCTATGATTTTCAGGCTTGTAACCATCACAAACTTGCTGATATTACACATTATATTTGTCAAAACTCTTGGATTCCTCTTTAGAATTAAGACAGCCAAAGGTGTGATATTTAACAAGACAATTCATCCTGATCATCAGATATCCAGTAGTTTCTTATTATCAAAACCATCAAAGTTAATCATGTATCCACTCTGAAGGCCATTTAGTAAAACCATCAAAGTTAATCTTGTATCAACTCTGAAGGCTGTTAAGTAAAACCATCAAAGTTAATCTTGTATCAACTCTGAAGGCTGTTTAGTAAAACCATCAAAGTTTAATCTTGTATCCACTCTCAAGGCCATTTAGTAAAACCATCAAAGTTAATCATGTATCTACTCTCAAGGCCATTTAGTTAAACAATCAAAGTTTAATCTTGTATCCACTTTCAAGGCCATATAGTAAAACCATCAAAGTTAATCATGTATCCACTCTGAAGGCCATTTAGTTACACTACGATCTATTGGTCTCTAAAGCTAACAGCTTAATATCTGTATTTAGTTATTTTTCAACAACTGTGAAACAAACTGTCGGATTGAAACACATTTAGAGAAGATCTCATATTGGAGGGGAAGGAAGGAGGGAGGGAAAGGGGGCCAATATTGGCCCCCTCCTATATCTTCACATAGGATGGTGATTTGAACCCAGGTCTCCAAGGTGAAAGAGGTGTCCAGCCTCTACACCAACTGACTATCCCAAGCTTCATTCACATGTAGTGGTTTAACTGTCTGTGTTTTAAGTGCATGGTTTATTAAATATAATGAAACTTTCTACTCAACAGACATACAGTAGCTTGACCTTGTAAACAATCGGACTATAAAAGAGATAGAAAAAGGAAAATAGCAGGAAATTGTATAGATACATATATCTATGTATTACATACCGTCAATGAAAACAGAATAATTAATATTCCTACAACATTGTGTAGAGAATTAAAAAAAAGTGTGAATTAAACTCTTGTAATGAAAACTTGAAAATAATGAAACTTAGAGGTACAATGAATTAGAATGCAGAACATGGAAACGTTGAATGTTGGTACCTAATGAAGTAGCGAGCTGAAAGCCTGGGCCAGCTACAGCTGCTGGTTAGTGTGTATACACAAACACGCAGTAGCCATATTGTCAAAGTGCTTGACCTTACTTTGTAGGTCAAACGCCACAGGCTGTTCTGGGGAGTGGGGAGGTAATGATTTTATCACTCCGGGGCACCATATGGGGGATCCAATTTACTGACCTGTTTGTGTAATGGACAGTTGAGAGTAAAGGGGCCCTGGAAGGGAATCTCCTGTACTGGTCAAGTATAGCAATGAGTCAAAGAGGCCCCAGAAACAGATTATTTAGAAGAGGGAATTTAAAGGAAGAAGAAAAAGACTTTTAACACAGTGGTCTGTCGAAAGGACAAAAGGCCAAGGGATGAAAGGGGCTCCAGAGGGGTGTAAGTTAGTATATCTAAGAGGGTCCAGTGAAAGTTTCTTAAGACTATTAAGAGTAACAAGATGTATGTTAAGGGGATATTTGATTTGATATTTGAGCTTGTCATGCTAAGAACAATTAGTCCCCTATCTGGGGTACAAAAGGGGAAATTTCCCCTGATGCATAGTTCCCTATGTTATGTCCTTGTTGGTAAAAAATTGTCCATATTGTCTTGAAGTAATTTCTGTCAAACTTGGGTTACTAATTACCTGGTTAAATGTGTCAGTTGTTCCCTTTTGTATTGGGGTGAAGTTTCCTCTTGAAAAAAAAAAAAAATGTGAACTGTTTGAACCAGCTCCTTTGACACTTAGTTAAATTCCATTGTTGTCAGTTGTGATTGATTTCTCCTTTCTGTAATTGTCGGAAGAGTTATGCCCCTTTTAAATAACATTTTGTGAGTGTTTAGGTTAGATTTATAACTTTAACATACAAATAACTTTTGAGTGATATTTTCTTGATTCAAATCAAGAATGAAAAATTTCTGAACAATTTTAAAACTTTACTATATCCATTTATTCATAAAGATAAATCACAGTTAGAAAAAAAAAGAATGAGAAAAAAAATACAATTTTATTTATAAAGCTCACAGTCATTTAGAAAGAAAAACGTAACAATACAAAATTCCACATAAATGATTCTAGTGTTTAGATTTTGACATTCCTATTGAAGCGTAAACTCTGACTGGTTATAACTAACGGCAATCAGCTGTTCAATCAATTGATTATCCACCCCCGTAAGCAAAGGTTCTGCTATCGGTCCATTGCTCTATAAACTATCTTGTCACAATTCATCAGAGTAATCGTAAAAAAACCATGTGTCAACTCTTAAATAGCTTCCGAGATAGTGATAACGTTAGGTAGTAACTCTAATACCAAACTTCCATTGTGTGGTCCGTGAATTTAAAGGGCGGCCATTTTGGTGCCTTTGTATTGCGATTTGTATCTACATTATGAACCCTTAACCCACTTCACCTGACTCCTAAGTTGTCTGTTGTTTTTCGCGTTTTACCTGTAACAAACTCATTAGTTATGCATACCAAGTCAGGTATAATAGCATTTCATGCTTGAATGAATTCATTGAGAAATCAACACTGTTACAAGTACACTGAAGTGCTGTTAACTTTAAGATAAACTATCAAAACAAAATTCAAATAAAAAACAGAAATACTTCAAAACGTAAACAATGTTTTTATTGAAAAAGAAATATGTAATATAAATTCTCAATTTAAGTCAACATAACAGAAACAAAATTTTGAATGATAAAAGAAAAAATCAGAAAAATAATCTAAGTTATCATTTACAAATAATAAAGCAGTTATTTCTGAATTAATTTTATAAGATTTGAACAGCTATGCTGTCGTTTAACACTACCTAGATCTCTCTTGGTCATCTGCTACAACATGAGAGTTGTGTATCTTGTCACTAAACATGGCCGGCAAAAAAAGGGCAAAAACAAAAAAAAAAATTTAATAAGAATTATAATTAAATGAAAAAACAACCTACCTTATCTGTCAATCATGTTGAAATGAATAACATTCCAGTAACTTTCTTAAGGATTTTGTAGGATTACAGAATTTGGAACAAAATTTGAGGGATTTATTGGGATTAAAAATGAATGCAAGTCATTGTACTAGTGTTATTGTCAGGTGGTCTAGTTGATTGGGTAACAGAAAAATGTGAGTTGAAGTAGTGGCTGGATGTAAAGATCTCACAAAAATGATAGGAGATGACATCTACCGAGGAAATGGAGAAAAAATATCATATTTGGGATGTATGTATGATTTATGATGGAAGTGCTGCACTTGCCCCGATCAGGGAAAGCTGTGATAAAGATGTGGGTCAATCATGTTGTTTCATGTAATTAATGACAGAAGAAAAATTTCACATAGTATCGAAAAAATACTGTGAGTTAAAAAGATTAAGAAAAAGAAATATCTCTTCAGTCTACCTCAGTCAGAAATGAAGAAAAAAAATGATATGGAAAAAACTTATTTATCAGGAAAAGAATATTTATCAGAAAAAAGATGTTTATCAGAAAACAATATATCAGAAAAAACAATATTCATCAGAAAAAGGATATTTATCGGAATAATAAAGAACCAGTTCACTTCATGATTTGTTCCTTAGCACAAGATTTACGCCTATGTTTTGGAGGCAATCGACGGACACAAGGCATCACATGATTTGCAGGCATTTCCAATTTGTCGCTTAGGAATCGGTATTTGCTAAAACTGTCAAATGAGGGCAAGCATGTTTTTTGAACATCAATATCTGTAATTCCATCCGGGTCAGAGCGACCCAAAATTGGAACTAGGTGAAATTCTATTGCCTGTGTGTAAACAGCCCAATCAATAATCATCCTCCTTCTGTTGTATTTAGGCCATACCAGTGAATGTGTGGTTCCTGTATACCAGTTTAGTTGGTTTTATCTAGGCCAGACCAATATATTTATGTGGCTTCTGAATACAGGTTCAGTCTGAATGAGGTAGTACCAGCAAATGTTGGTTCCTTTGCACTCATTTTATGTTTAATTTAGGCCATGCCATTAAAAGTGTTTCCCATACAAATGTGTGTCTGTTGTATTTAGGCTTGACCAATAAACAGGTGGCTCAGGAATGCTGGTTTGGTCTATCTGAGGCCACAACAATAAACATGTGGCTATGGAATGCTGGTTTGGTCTATCTGAGGTGTGGCTCAGGAATGCTGGTTTGGTCTATCTGAGGCCACAACAATAAACATGTGGCTCAGTAATGCTGGTTTGGTCTATTTGAGGCCACAACAATAAACTTGTGGCTCAGGAATGCTGGTTTGGTCTATCTGAGGCCACAACAATAAACTTATGGCTGTGGAATGCTGGTTCGGTCTATCTGAGGCCACAACATTAAACATTTGGCTCTGGAATGCTGGTTTGGTCTATCTGAGGCAACAACAATAAACTTATGGCTGTGGAATGCTGGTTCGGTCTATCTGAGGCCACAACATAAAACATGTGGCTCTGGAATGCTGGTTTGGTCTATCTGAGGTCACAACAATAACCTTGTGGCTCAGGAATGCTGGTTTGGTCTATCTGAGGCCACAACAATAAATAAACTTGTGACTGTGGAATGCTGGTTTGGTCTATCTGAGGCCACAACAATAAACTTGTGGCTCTGGAATGCTGGTTTGGTCTATCTGAGGTGTGGCTCAGGAATGCTGGTTTGGTCTATCTGAGGCCACAACAATAAACATGTGGCTCAGTAATGCTGGTTTGGTCTATTTGAGGCCACAACAATAAACTTGTGGCTCAGGAATGCTGGTTTGGTCTATCTGAGGCCACAACAATAAACATGTGGCTCAGGAATGCTGGTTTGGTCTATCTGAGGCCACAACAATAAACTTGTGGCTGTGGAATGCTGGTTTGGTCTATCTGAGGCCACAGCAATAAACATGTGGCTCAGGAATGCTGGTTTGATCTATAGATGCTTGGATTTGGTCATCGAGATGACCTCTGCCACCCTACCACCAGACCACCTTACCACCAGACCACCCTGCCACCTCACCACCATACCACCATACCACCCTACTACCAGACCACCTTGCCACCCTTCCACCAGACCACTCTACCACCCTACCACCTTACCACCAGACCACCCTTCCACCTTGCCACTCTACCACCCTACCACCCAACCACCCCCAAGGCATTATAACAAAATATGGCCTTGTAATACAATAATATGTGGAAATTAGACTTGTAACTTGCTCACACTTCCAGTATATGTCAAGAGAGAGAGAGAATAAGGAAGTGAAACAAGATAATTATATTGATCTGTAGTGTTATCAGTGTATCAATCCACCATCTGGACATCTACCAATGATTGGCTTAGAGTGTACGTTCACCTGTCAGTGATCACTGGTTTTATATACAGGTAGGGCAATAACTTCATTCCCCAGCAATTTAATTTCTGGGGGCATGAAGGGTGAGGTGGGGGCATTGAGGGTGGGGTGGGAGGCATGGAGGGTGGGGTGGGAGGCATGGAGGGTGAGGTGGGGGCAAAGAGTGGGGCGGGGGCATGGAGAGTGGGGTGGGGAGGCATGGAGGGTGAGGTGAGGGCATAGAGAGTGGGGTGGGGGCATGAAGGGTGAGGTGGGGGCATATATAATGGTTTTACCCTTAATCTCTGTTGATTGAAAATGGCTACCTGTGTATTAAGGTCAGTTTTCTCTGCCCCTTGGGTGGCCCCAATAGACAGGTTGAATTTACAAAAAGGACTGAAAAGCTAAAATTTTGCAGTTGGATAAAACCCATTTATCATCAATGGTAAATATGTATTATCTATGAAAATGGAGCCAATTCTTATACACCATGTTAATAATCAGAAGATTATGGAGAACGATTAGGAAATCTTAAACATTAGGACTGCAACGATACGCATTATTCACGATATGCATTATACACGATACACATTACTCACAATATGCATTATTTACGATACACATTACGCATTATACACATTGCGCACGATATGGATTATTCATGATACAATATGTATTGCGATATGATGCTTACGATACATATCGGGATACAGGTGTGTGCTGAAAAGTTCAGCTTAAAATGACTGAGTGTACAATATTAAGTGAAGCTTTTTAATTCATGATTAAATACAAAATTTGAGTAATTTCTGGGTACGACTGTACAGTTGACGGAATAATTTTTTCTGATCGATTACATAATATCATGTTTTTTATAAGTTTGGAAAAATATGTAAGTATGTATTGTGATACAGCTAACACTATTAAATATTGTGTGGCACTATTAAATATCGTTGACACTATTAAATACAAAAAAGAAGATAAGTTGTCAAGGTAGTTCTGTAATATTCAACAAACACATTCTAATTTTATCTTTTGTACAAAAAAGTTTTGTTTTTCTGTCCACGATAATCGTCTGTTGAGAAGATTAAAGTCAAAATCATTTACTCAACAAAATATTAACATCAAAAGTTTTTTACTTTTGTAACTGTGTCATAAAAACATCTGCAAAATCTCATCAAAATAAATTGAATTTAAATTTAGAATTGTTCGGTAAAATTGAATGTTGAGTAGGAAAGTTTGCGCCCTTAAACTGTAAAAAGTTAATAGATAAATTTAATGATTTTTCTATGCAACAATATTTCGCTCATAAAACTTGGAAGTGAGTGAATAGAAAAAATACTGGTGAATAATTTCTTTGGTGAGAAGTCCATTGAAAAGTATTGTTACAGCAGTTAAATCATACTTGTGTGATGTTTTCATGTGTTGTGACACACAATTCTCCTGGAACCCAAACACATAGGTATTTCAATTAAAAATTGATGTAAAATTTATTAGTGACCTCAATACAGCTTTGTTAACAGCATTTTTATAATCAAAGTCCAGCTTCTAGCTTTATGCTTCATTACCTCACTCAAACATTTTTGTAAAAATATGTATATTTATTTGACTTGCTGTCATCATTCTTTTCTATTACTTCGCTGTGTTCTTAAAATAGTCCTATTTTTATATGAAATGTGCTTCCAAAACTGTTATAAAATAAATGTTTTAAACACACTTGACACAAGATTTAACATTGACTTGTTATGTAGATACAAAATTATCAGACAACATGCAGTACAGTACCTAAACTTCAGCAGTAACTTTACCTATAAATACTATTTCATTGTCCCTTAATAAGCCCACCCCAAACTTTGTGATAGAATTTATGGTGGGCAGTTGGTGTACAGCAGACAGAAAGAAAAGGTTCCTTATTCTTTATACTTTGAATTATATGTGAAACATTTTAAAATATTTTTTGTGATAAAAACTTTTGATAAATAATCATCAGTACATGATACATTAGTATGCCTGCTGGTGCAGTCATCTCAGAGTTTAAAAGGCCAATATCTAGTACTAGATATATAATCCCAACTGACAACTGGAAAAAAATTGGTGGGCTAAATTTTCAGTGGGAATTTTCAGTCAGACATGAAAATTTCCTGATGATTTGGTTGAAGCAGAGACACATGACAAAAAAGATTAATTTTCAGAGCTTGTAAAAACTGAAATTCTAAAATCTGAATCAGTGTTCACTGTATGTGTAACTACTGGGGTTTAAACAAGCCTTGTACAGGAGAGAAGTTATAGAATTTACTTAGCATTTCATTCTTCCTGAAGAAGTCTGATATTTTGTGACTGTTTTTCAAGAATGTCACCAGGTTAACGCTTTTTATGTAGACTTATAGATAGTATTACAGACAGTATGGGAATGGAGGTCAACTTAAAGAAGGAAAGAATTTTAAATTCCTTTTCAGGAGAGATTCAGAAATATCTTCAGTAAAGTGGCATACTTTTTTGGGTTCAATTTTTATGTTTTCAAAAAATGAAAAAGGAAGTGAGGGGGATGGACAGTTGATTTGATGGATAGATATAGATCTGTAAATCTACTTCAACTAATTATCAATTTGTGAATATTGGAATTCAGAATTAACAATTATAAAGATATCAAAATAAATCCCCCACAAAAATTTATGAATTTGCAGTACAAAGTGTTAGGACTGTTGACAAATATTTTTAGAAAAATAGAAGTAGAGAGACTGAGAGAGGGTTGGAGAGAGTGAATTATACTTAACAGATTATTGCCCCAGAAATCTATGTAATGGTGCTATGATATTGACTGATAATTACAACATTTTGGCCATATACACATAAATTCTGTTATGAAGATATTACTTTAAATTAAAACTTGAGACACTAAAGCCCTGAAGGGGATAGTGCCACTGTGTCCAGCAGTATTTAAATAGTGTAAGGGTTTATACGGAAGGTTTAGCAAGATAAATATATCGGAAAGATTTCTAGAAAAAAAGCAAGGGTTGGAAAGTCTCATTCTCCCACAAGGCTTGGAAAAGATTTCAAGACATAGCCAGATTTATAGATAGTGACAAACAGAAGATCTTAGCATAGAGAAGGAATGGCATTCTTTCATTTGGTAATGTTTATAAAATGACGTTCTTTCGATTAGCCCTGGTCCCTTGCCTTTAGATCCGATTCTGAACGGATGTTTGTTGCTAATCAGCTTCTTAAAATGCCTTAAATTACTTCTTACATTTGGTGGTAACTTATTTTAATGTGTTTTTATCTATACTTATGTGACATACTGAAGTATTTCGTTCAGAACCAGTTTACATTTTTATTGGCTGATATACTTTTTTATGCTCCCTGAAGGAAGAGCATATAGTTGCCACTTTGTCCGTCCGTCCGTCCGTCTGTCATAATTTTGTCTGGAACACAAAAACTATAAGAGGTATCAACATTAATCTGAGTAGGTAGAAAGGCCTCAACAGGGAGGAATGCGTACCTGGTAATTTAGGAGTTGTTACCCTTTGTTACTCTTCATACTTAAATTTTGTCCATGTCGGGGAGAAGTCAGAACTTGGATTTAATGTTGAAATATTTTTTCGTATTTTTCAGGAATTTCCGGTAAATTTTCTCGCCAGCCTGAGGACCAGACAGTAGAGGAAGGGGCTGTAGCTCGGTTTCAGTGTAACATACGAGCCTCTCCCCCACCCCTTTATACATGGCTCAAAGACGACGAACATCTTAACAATGACGACAGGTACAATGTTTGAAATTTCTAAAATTGGAAAGAGAACCTGTCTTTTCAATATTTCAATATTGACATGATTAATTGGAGTTGTTTTATATATAACACCATTTAGACTAAGTGATTTGTCTCCACAAATCTGGGTATTACTCAGAATGTTAAATTGGACTTGTTTTATATATAACACCATTTAGACTAAGTGATTTGTCTCCACAAATCTGGGTATTACTCAGAATGTTAAATTGGAGTTGTTTTATATATAACACCATTTTATTTGTACAAATCTGGGTATTACCATGTTAAATTGGACTTGTTTTATATATAACACCATTGTAGTGATTTGTCACAAACTGGGTATTACTCATGTGGCTCAACACCATTATATTTGTAGACAAAACTGATGACATGTGGCTCCATTATATTTTAACGTGACCAGGTACCTCTCAAACTTCTCCTTTGTGACAATAACATGATCTTGAGTGACCTTAGAGCAGCAGACAGCTTTCTTTTGAAACCCTTATCAAACAATCACTGCAAAATCTGCAGTATTTGTGAGATATTTATTTTCACTGAATAAAAATATTATGTTTAGACCTATAACCATTTCTTGAGTTGTATGCCAATCGAGAGCCTGGGTTTTTTACTTCAGTCGGTAGATAACGTCTGATGTTCCATTTATACATATCGGATATATCATTTCTGTAGTTATTCTACCAATCTTGTAAGTTGGTGTATATAATGTTTGTCAGTAAATAACGGAAGTCTTTGTTTGATGTTTCAGACATATTATAATTTCTACGGGTATTCTACAAATCTTGGATGTCGGTGTGGACGATGCTGGTCATTATTGGTGTACAGCCACGCCAGGGAAACTCCATGACCTGCCCGATCAGGTAGACAGCATCAAATGGAAAAAAAGTAACCCAGCTACTCTGACTGTCAAGCCAGGTAATTACCTCCCTTACATTGTATTTTTCCTGTAAATTAGATAATTATCGCGCTTAAAGTGTGTCATAAAGGTTGAGTATTTGTGTATGGAGTGCATGGTGTAAGGGTTATCTCCCTTGTTATATATTGTCTCGGGTCTTGGTATTTCCTTTTCCAAAAAAAGTTATTGAAAAGGAAATTTCCTCAATTGCGCAGCACCTGTCCCATCCTAAGGTGACCCATCCCAAATTGTCTGCCCCAAGATGGCCAATCCCAAGGTCACCATCACTATTTACTAAAATATGACAAATATTGAAACTTTAATAAAGAAAAACCAGACAGCCCATATCTTAAAATACAAATTCTAGTAAACTTGTCAATATTGGGAAAGATGAGATGTTTAGAGTGGCGACTGTCTTGTTTTGTTGACTCAATTTGTTCTAACTGATCTTGTCTCAGGAACTGGCAACCGACCTTTAACAATCAAATCTGGACCGGTAAACACAACAGTACAGGAGGGCCAATCTGTGGTCCTAGAATGTCTGGTGGACGGCACTCCTCAGCCTGAGGTCACATGGGAGAGAGATGGTAAGTCATGCTTGCACTTGGTGGTGGTTTAGGGGTTACAGGAAGGCCAATCTGTGGTCCTAGAATGTCTGGTGGACTGTAACTCTCAGCCTGAGGTCACATGGGAGAGAGATGGTAAGTCATGCTGGCCCTGGGTGGTTGTTGAGGGGGTACAGGAAGGCCAATCTGTGGTCCTAGAATGTCTGATGGACGGTAACCCTTAGCCTGAGGTCACATGGGAGAGAGATGGTAAGTCATGCTGGCCCTGGGTGGTTGTTGAGGGGGTACAGGAAGGCCAATCTGTGGTCCTAGAATGTCTGATGGATGGTTACCCTTAGCCTGAGGTCACATGGGAGAGAGATGGTAAATCATGCTGGCACTGGGTGATGGTTGAGGGGGTACAGAGAGGCCAATCTGTGGTCCTAGAATGTCTGATGGATGGTAACCCTCAGCCTCGGGTGAAAAACACCAATCAACATTGAAGTTACTTTTGAAAAATGAAATAAGTTTAAAAGATGTATTGACATGGTGTACAAAAGGAGACCGGTGTTCCATATATGGTCAGGGTTTCAGGAATGACTGCTCTATCACACCCATATAGGTTAAATGTAATTCATAACTTACACACAAAATTAGGATAGTTATATTATGACACTATTACATCAAACTTTTATATCATACGAGAAAATGGGTATTTCAATGTTTTGTTTTTCAGATGGTACAGATGCGACTGTGGCAGCTGTCAAATATGGTTTCTCTAATCTGAAGGTCCTCCAGGTGACAGTGGGTCACTCCGGTGTTTACATATGTAAGGCAGAGAGTGGAGGCAAGAAAGTTTCAGCCCGAGCCACTCTCACCGTACACAGTAAGTTGTTTGTTATAAGTACAGTAATGTTCAGTGATTGTTATGTTTGCCCTGTTTATCCGTTAAAGGAGCTAAAAAAAATAGAACTAGAGATGAAATTTTCCTAAATTGAAAAATAATTTAGAATATCTTCCTGACAATGGGGTAAACAAAAACTACATTGTCCTGATAAATTTTCTGAATTTCTCCATGTCAAGTTACTTTAATGGCATATTGCAATCAGTTTAAATTTGGTTGTATTTCTGTTATCATTGGAACTGGAAGCAAATTAGTAATGATATATTAAAGTGAAAGTCAACTTGTACTTTAGCTCGACCAGTGATCACTCGAGGACCACAAAGTGTGCAGTATGTTCCTGCCCACAGTACCAGGTTTGAATGTGTTGTTGATGGCAACCCGCGCCCTCGGGTTCAGTGGCTAAGAAATGGAACGAAAATCATGCCAGCTGCCAACCATCAAGTAAGATCCTTATACTACAGATGTGATAACATAGAACAGAATGCGGCTTATATTACAGTGCAGCTTATATGTGGATCAAATCGAAAAAATAATGTAAAACTGGCCCTGCGGCTTAAAACCTGAAAAATACAGAAGTCCTTTCCTGTCCTACATCCCTGTAAAGTGTAACATCCCAAGAAAAATCTGTTGAAATGAGACGAGAGGAAACAAGCTGGTTATTATATAAGTGTAATGGGATGTTTTGGAAGGGAAATTTCAGGAGATGGGGAGTGGGGGGAACCTGGCAGATAACATTAAATGAATATTTATGAAAGATGATTAATTGGATTTTTTTAAAAAGGGAAATAATTCTAAATGGTTTTTAAGGGGCATGTAGCCTTACGAAAATATTCATGAAAGATGAATGATTGGATATTTTGGAAGGGAGGTAATTGTTTTAAGGGAGCATATAGCCTTAAATAGATATTTATGAAACATAAAATTATGGTTTTCAGATCAAACAAAACAACGACCTTGTGATTACGGGAACAGTGCCACAGAATTCTGGGTATTACCAATGTGTTGTAGAGAACAGTGTCGATTATGACATGAGGATTGCTAGGCTGGAAATTTTACCAATAGGTAAGTTAGATTATGACATGAGGATTGCTAGGCTGGAAATTTTACCAATAGGTAAGTTAAATTATGACATGAGGATTGCTAGGCTGGAGATCTTACCAGTAGGAAAGTTTTTCCTTCCTACTTTGAGTTCCAAGGGTCCTTATTCTGGAGTGGTTATTTTACTAAATATTTTTGTTCAATTTGCGAAAATTTGAACTGTGGAAATAAGCTATGCAGTAAGCAAACTCTGTTATGTATTGTGATATAGATAGATCTAAACACAAACAATACTGTTAGCTTGATGTGGTTTGAACTTTCTCCTGATGATAAAGCTTTACAACCTGTTCTGATATCTGACATACATAATTGATCGCCAGTTCTTGTTTCAAATGGTGAAATTTACATCATTTATATTGAAATTACTAAACACGTTGAATTATTGCACCAAAGTTAACATTACATTGCGTAATCCACATACAAACTATGTTATTTTATTTTTTTCAGAATCAGCTCCACTTCCTCCGCAGGGAATACATGTACAAGTTCTGTCGGCGACGTCCATTTTTATTTCCTGGGATTCTAGTAGTCAGCGGCGAGTGTTGGCCTACTCACTCAACATTGTGAACAAAGACAGTAAGTTTTACTTTGATTTATTCTTATGTAAGAGGCTTTCTTAATCATCATCCACAAATTTAAAATGTTATATCTCACGAATCCATTGACTATATCAACAGATATCAGGGGAGATAACACTTATTATATCTCGCGCATCCATTGACTATATCAACAGATATCTGGGGAGATAACACTTCTCATCACTGACGTGTCTTAGAAGGACAAAACAGCTAAATGATATGCAATTTACTTGAATTTTTAGCCCAACTGTATGTAATTTTAAATGTTTATCGTGAATGACCAAAACTTTTGAAACCAAGGACAATGATACAGCATGTGTTGGTATTCCTTCTGAAATTAGAATAGATGTGGGTTGGCTTATTACAGGACAATGACGCAACATGTGTTGGTATTTCTTCTGAAATTAGAATAGATGTGGATGGGCTTATTACAGGACATGTCCATACACGCATATAAATAGTTCTAGGTGGAGATGTTTGACTAACATTTATGACTGTGTTACAGCTGGAAATACACTGAACACGCGGGTCATTGAACAGGGCATACACAGTGAAAGGGTAGATAACCTGTCACCAGCCACCACATACAAGGTGTCTGTGCGTGCCTACAACACAGATGGTGCAAGTTCATTTTCGGATGTACTAGTCATCACCACATATGAGAAGGGTGAGTTTTCTTATTTTATTAATTGGAAATTAAGAAGATTTGAAACAAAAGAAATCTCTCTTGCCCATGTTTATCCTTGTATTGTTTGCATCGCATGATATTCTGTCCTGTCACAGTCAAATTCAGTGTATACAATCTTGATACAAATTCATTTTGGGTGATTGAAAGACATTTTTCTCAACAACAATATGTATCGGTGGGCTCATTGTCAAAAAAAGAATCTTATTATTTGCTTTCTGAAGTTTGGAACTGTCGGCTCTTCACCTGGAAATATACTGGACAAAATAAGTTAAGGATCATAAATTGTGACCATAATATCTTTAAAAATTCAAATAATGTATTGCCGGTAATTGCACTCGTAGTTTCTCCAATATGTACCTAAAGTCATGTCAAAGGTGAAAGCACGTGCATCTGAAGGTCTTGCCGTTCCGCTCTAGTTAACTATGGTGGTGTGAAAAACTGACTGGTCTATTACTACAGAGGAATCTTGCAGGTTTTGATTCTGTTACTTCTAAGCTAAAAAAAGTTGAATTTGGAAACATTTAATCAATTTGTAACGAAAACTTGAAAAACTAATCATGCGAAGACATTTAAATGATATGGAAGCCGCGCGAGCTATAGGGCTCCTTCAAGCTGGTCAAACTCAACGAAATGCGGCGGCACAGCTTCATGTTTCTCAGAGCGTGATTAGTAGGCTATGGAATCGCTATCAACAGACAAATAACGTCAGTCAACGCCCCAGATCTGGACGACCACGCTGTACGACAGCCCGACAGGACAGATTCATTTGCATCACGGCACGACGTCAGCGGTTTTTGAGTGCTCCTGTCTTGAATCTTCAGTTTCAGCGTGCTACAAATCTAAGGATTTCATCCCAGACAATCAGAAACAGACTCCATGCCTCTAATTTACGAGCTAGAAGACCAGCAGTCCGACCAATTTTATCCAGAGGTCATCGACAATCCAGACATCAATGGGCCACTCATCATTTGAATTGGCAATTACGTCATTGGAGAAATGTTATGTTCACAGATGAGTCTAGGTTTTGTGTTGACTTCCATGACGGTAGGAGGAGGGTATGGAGAACCCAAGGAGAGCGCTATGCATACTGCTGTGTTGTCCAGCATGCTCGCTTTGGTGGTGGGTCAGTGATGGTTTGGGCAGGGATCAGTGTTGACTTCCATACATACCTCTACATCATAGACAATGGATCTTTAACAGCTGTTCGATACAGGGATGAGATTCTACACCCTATAGTAAGGCCCATTGCAGGAGTTGTTGGCCATGATTTTATTCTGATGGATGATAATGCTCGTCCTCACCGTGCTCGTGTGGTCAACGACTATCTTCAACGTGAAGCAATCGTTCGCATGGAGTGGCCAAGTCGTTCCCCTGATCTGAACCCTATCGAGCATGCTTGGGACACCTTGCAACGCCGGGTTTCAGCTCGACCTAATCCGCCACAGAACCGCCAACAGCTTATGATTGCTCTGCAAGAGGATTGGCAGCGCATCCCACAGATCAGCCACCGACGACTAATAAGGAGCATGTGCAGACGTTGCAGGGCAGTTATTGATGTCAACGGAGGTCATACTGCCTATCAAACTGCCAATTGCAGTTTGATGAGTTTTCCTTGTCTACATGATTAACTTGCTCTACTTCCTCTTACACTTTGATTTCAAGGGTGCTGTTACTCAGGGTTATCTGCTCTTGGTAGCAATTACCACAAATGAAGTTTTGTGTAATTAAAGACTAAAATGAATGTTCTGTCATTAAAATTTAAAATATAATCATATTATTATTTGTATGTAAAACTGCACTGTTTCAAGTTTATGATCCTTAACTTATTTTGTTCAGTATAGTATACATTCAGTGTTTCTGTTACAGAGCCTTCAGCTGCACCGATGATTCGTATCACCAAGACAACAGCCACCAGTATCGCACTGGAATGGGACGAGTTACCACGGAAACAGAGAAATGGGGTCATTGTTGGCTACAAGGTGTTTTATCAGAAGGAAGGGGAGACTGCCATAAAGACGGACGAAGATAATAATGGAGGAAGTCGCTCTTTTGTCATCAAAGGTACAAAAGTTCAGTAGATCATACAAGGTTAACGGAGCTATCTTACGGGTCATTTCAGCTCCAAAGAGACTATTAAATGAAAAATATTCTCAGACTTTTATCAAAATTTTAAAAAATTTAATTTTTGTTCCTCCATTTATCAAATTTTAATTTTTTGAAATTGTATTTTCTTTTTATTGTAGAAAGCCTGACAAGTTATGACATTAATACAATTTTTGGCATTTTGATAAGGTATCTTACCATGAAATGTTTCTTGCTCTGAACAAATTTTTCAAACAGCAATATTCCAGGCAAAGGATAAAGACATGTACAAATATTGATCCATTTTTACTGTAGTGATAATGTATGTTGTGTTTCTAGGTTTGGAACCCAATACAAAGTATCGTGTCAGGGTGTTGGCACGGACCAAGATAGGGTACCCGGACTTAAAAGAGGATCGCTGGCCTTGGGTACACGACAAGACACAGCCCCGCTGTAAGTATAACTTGTTTTTATTTATTTTTTGTTGACAAAACAAAAACATTTGTAGTTATTTTGTACATAGAAAAAAGATATCCTAAAAAATAATGTCATTTATAGAAAATTGTGATTCTTAATTTGCCATTTGTCATTCTGAAATGTGAATAAATTTAAATTCATGGCATAAATAGACGGAGATATATTTTTCTTCTGACAGAGAACAAGTTAGGGTTAAGAAGGGTAACCATGGTGATTAATTTATTTATTGTCAAGAAAAGAAACAATAATACCCATAGTAACCAAAGAGATTTTTTTCACCTTAGGAGACCATCTGTAATAAGGTGAACTTTGTCTGTTACCAAGGTGATCTTTATCTGTTACCATGGAAAGCTTTGTCCATAACTAAGTTGACCTTTGTCCATTATGAAGATGATCTGGTCAGAAACCAAGGCATTCTTTGTTGGTTTTAATACAACATAACTGTGATGATATTTTTCAGCCCGCCAGAACGATTCTGTCCCTGATCCTCCCACTCTGACTGTGATTTCACTCAATGCCTCTTCTGTAAACATCACTTGGCACCAGGATGTACCACGAGTTCCAGTCACGATGTATAAAGTCATACTCAAGCGTCTGAAAGACTCTGATCAGTCACAGCATCAGTACGAAGTGCAGCCGACTAAACAGAATCTGATCCTCACTGACCTTTGTATGTTCTAAATATGTTACTGATGTTTCAAGGAAATATGATTTCCTGTTATTATCATTCTTCTTTTCATGATATTAAAAGGAATTTCCCCATGATACTCTACTGATCTGTACACAAATTATATAATACAGCTATTTTAATGATATACAATTCTTTTCTCATGTTTTAATTATATTTTGTAATTGCTTCAAGATGAAATGTCTCATTTTAACGAATAAAACCATTTTTGTATCAGTATTCGTGACATGTACTCCGGTGAAATGAAAAAAAACAACTTTACTGTTACAGTGAATGAGACGTTTTATCAAGTGTCATTGACGGCTTCAAACCAGTTCGGGGAATCGGGAGCTGTAATTGAAGAGTTCCTCACCTCGGAGAATCCTCCTCCTCCTGTACCCATTAACCTTCATGCAACATTTCTCGCCTCCCGTATCATCAGGGTGGAATGGTCTCAACCAGAATTTTACACTGATGTCATGTCGTATCGTGTCCGGTACCGCCCAGAACGTGGAAGCCCAATCCACGAATCTATTATCATTACGTATGTATAAGTTAAAAGATCACTTTGATACATTTTAGATCTTTAGATAATGATGTTTACATTTGTACTGTATGTAGTGGCACGAGAAGACACCGTGGATCTTTGGATAATGATGTTTACATTTGTACTGTATGTAGTGGCACGAGAAGACACCGTGGATCTTTAGATAATGATGTTTACATTTGTACTGTATGTAGTGGCACGAGAAGACACCGTGGATCTTTAGATAATGATGTTTACATTTGTACTGTTTGCAGTGACAGGACACGAGCAGACATTGTGGATTTGATGCCATATACCTATTACTACATTGAGGTTCAGGCAGTTGCTGGATCCAGGGAGAGCAAATTCAGCAGATCCATCCTAGAGAGAACACAGGAAGATGGTACGTATTGTACAGCTCTTTCCAAGCAGAGTCAACATTTATACACTTACCTCCCTTGGATGATTTCTCTAGGAAATGCATTGTCCAATAATCCATTTCATCAAGTTGATAAACTGCTGCAATTGGGAAACCTGGTCACAGGACTCTTTCTAATACTTTAAACCTGTGAATGGTTGTGAATAGGAGTCATGAACTCCATTTATCTCCCTTGAATGAGCTCTCCGGGAATCATACCATTATCCTTTTTCCAAAGGCAAAAAAAAAGAGGTCCTCAAATACACGCTGGGGACAGGAGTTGGGGTCAAACAGTTCACACTGATAAATGTTTGGCATAACATATTCTTAGGGCCCAGGGAAGGGGGGGGGGGAGGACCTTCAATACTTTCACTGTCTGATTTTGAAAGAGAGGTAATGAGTAAAACCCACTGCTTACTGCCAGATAAACACATTGATCCTAGATACCTGTGTTTTTGTTTGATCACAGTACCATCTGTACCAAGAAACATCAAGGTCACCATTGAACAGAAATCAGCTCTCGTCCGCTGGGATGCTCCTGCCTTTCCAAACGGAAATATCACCACCTATATAATCCGTTACGGCCATCAGTCGGAAGAGAAATGGAAATCTGTCAAGGTCAATGGTAAGTGATGTTTTACTGAGTATTTATTGTAAAGGATAATCTGTTGCTTTCAGATACTGTATATCAAATTTTGTGAATTCTTTACTCTGCCAAGTTCTCTCTTCAAACATATTTGTAAATACGGTGATACTTTGTGTAAGCTGTGTTACTGGTATTATAGGTGATACTTTGTGTAAGCTGTGTTACTGGTATTATAGGTGATACTTTGTGTAAGCTGTGTTACTGGTATTATAGGTGATACTTTGTGTAAGCAGTGTTACTGGTATTATAGGTGATACTTTGTGTAAGCTGTGTTACTGGTATTATAGGTGATACTTTGTGTAAGCAGTGTTACTGGTATTATAGGTGATACTTTGTGTAAGCTGTGTTACTGGTATTATAGGTGATACTTTGTGTAAGCAGTGTTACTGGTATTATAGGTGATACTTTGTGTAAGCAGTGTTACTGGTTGATACTTTGTGTAAGCAGTGTTACTGGTATTATAGGTGATACTTTGTGTAAGCTGTGTTACTGGTATTATAGGTGATACTTTGTGTAAGCTGTGTTACTGGTATTATAGGTGATACTTTGTGTAAGCAGTGTTACTGGTATTATAGGTGTACTTTGTGTAAGCAGTGTTACTGGTATACTTTGTGTAAGCAGTGTTATAGGTGATACTTTGTGTAAGCAGTGTTACTGGTATTATAGGTGACTTTGTGTAAGCTGTGTTACTGGTATTATAGGTGATACTTTGTGTAAGCAGTGTTACTGGTATTATAGGTGATACTTTGTGTAAGCAGTGTTACTGGTATTATAGGTGATACTTTGTGTAAGCAGTGTTACTGGTATTATAGGTGATACTTTGTGTAAGCAGTGTTACTGGTATTATAGGTGATACTTTGTGTAAGCAGTGTTACTGGTATTATAGGTGATACTTTGTGTAAGCAGTGTTACTGGTTGATACTTTGTGTAAGCAGTGTTACTGGTATTATAGGTGATACTTTGTGTAAGCAGTGTTACTGGTTGATACTTTGTGTAAGCAGTGTTACTGGTATTATAGGTGATACTTTGTGTAAGCAGTGTTACTGGTTACTTTGGTGATACTTTGTGTAAGCAGTGTTACTGGTTTATAGGTGATACTTTGTGTATTATAGGTGATACTTTGTGTAAGCAGTGTTACTGGTATTATAGGTGATACTTTGTGTAAGCAGTGTTACTGTGTGTAAAGCAGTGTTACTGGTATTATAGGTGATACTTTGTGTAAGCAGTGTTACTGGTATTATAGGTGATACTTTGTGTAAGCAGTGTTACTGGCAGTGTTACTGGTATTATAGGTGATACTTTGTGTAAGCCGTGTTACTGGTATTATAGGTGATACTTTGTGTAAGCAGTGTTACTGGTATTATAGGTGTACTTTGTGTAAGCAGTGTTACTGGTATTATAGGTGATACTTTGTGTAAGCAGTGTTACTGGTATTATAGGTGTACTTTGTGTAAGCAGTGTTACTGGTATTATAGGTGATACTTTGTGTAAGCAGTGTTACTGGTTGATACTTTGTGTAAGCAGTGTTACTGGTATTATAGGTGATACTTTGTGTAAGCAGTGTTACTGGTATTATAGGTGATACTTTGTGTAAGCAGTGTTACTGGTATTATAGGTGATACTTTGTGTAAGCAGTGTTACTGGTATTATGTTACTGGTATTAGGTGTACTTTGTGTAAGCAGTGTTACTGGTATTATAGGTGATACTTTGTGTAAGCAGTGTTACTGGTATTATAGGTGATACTTTGTGTAAGCCGTGTTACTGGTATTATAGGTGATACTTTGTGTAAGCAGTGTTACTGGTATTATAGATACTTTGTGTAAGCAGTGTTACTGGTATTATAGGTGATACTTTGTGTAAGCAGTGTTACTGGTATTATAGGTGATACTTTGTGTAAGCAGTGTTACTGGTTGATACTTTGTGTAAGCAGTGTTACTGGTATTATAGGTGTACTTTGTGTAAGCAGTGTTACTGGTATTATAGGTGATACTTTGTGTAAGCAGTGTTACTGGTATTATAGGTGATACTTTGTGTAAGCAGTGTTACTGGTTGACTTTGTGTAAGCAGTGTTACTGGTATTATAGGTGATTTGTGTAAGCAGTGTTACTGGTGATACTTTGTGTAAGCAGTGTTACTGTATTATAGGTGATACTTTGTGTAAGCAGTGTTACTGGTTTATAGGTGATACTTTGTGTAAGCAGTGTTACTGGTATTATAGGTGATACTTTGTGTAAGCCGTGTTACTGGTATTATAGGTGATACTTTGTGTAAGCTGTGTTACTGGTATTATAGGTGATACTTTGTGTAAGCAGTGTTACTGGTATTATAGGTGATACTTTGTGTAAGCAGTGTTACTGGTATTATAGGTGATACTTTGTGTAAGCAGTGTTACTGGTATTATAGGTGATACTTTGTGTAAGCAGTGTTACTGGTATTATAGGTGATACTTTGTGTAAGCTGTGTTACTGGTTGATACTTTGTGTAAGCAGTGTTACTGGTATTATAGGTGATACTTTGTGTAAGCAGTGTTACTGGTATTATAGGTGATATTTTGTGTAAGCTGTGTTACTGGTTGATACTTTGTGTAAGCAGTGTTACTGGTATTATAGGTGATACTTTGTGTAAGCAGTGTTACTGGTTGATACTTTGTGTAAGCAGTGTTACTGGTATTATAGGTGATACTTTGTGTAAGCTGTGTTACTGGTATTATAGGTGATACTTTGTGTAAGCAGTGTTACTGGTTGATACTTTGTGTAAGCAGTGTTACTGGTATTATAGGTGATACTTTGTGTAAGCTGTGTTACTGGTATTATAGGTGATACTTTGTGTAAGCTGTGTTACTGGTATTATAGGTGATACTTTGTGTAAGCAGTGTTACTGGTATTATAGGTGATACTTTGTGTAAGCATGTGTTATACTTTGTGTAAGCTGTGTTACTGGTATTTTAGGTGATACTTTGTGTAAGCAGTGTTACTGGTATTATAGGTGATAGTTTGTGTAAGCAGTGTTACTGGTATTATAGGTGATACTATTGTACGAAATATTCTTTCGCAGGCCGTCTGCTGAAAATAAAGACAACCCACAATTTCTGTTTTTATTCAGTATATAATAAGTATCTATCCTAAAATTGTTGTCATAGGTAAGGGGAAACAACTCCAGTTCTTTTTTCTGATCAAAATGGATTGTTTTGTATGTGTGACATGTTTTAATAAACAAAGATATGGTGGCTTTTTGACTTTGTGCTGGAGAAATTCTCTATTACGCTGGATATTGGTTGGATTCTCCATAAAGAATCAATACGTGTTTCCTGTTACATGTACTTTATGTGATATATTGAATTATTATAATAGGGGATGATACATAAATAGATAAATCTATCAAAATCAGTAGATAAATAGAGTAATAAAGATGAATAAATAAAAGATAAATAAGTAAACAAAAGTACAGCATTCCTCCAGGAAATGAATCTTCTATTTTCTTGTTTACCTAGGTTCTCGTACAATGGTTCTTATTGACAATCTGAAGCCTGGACTCAACTTAGTCGAAGTGACTGCTTGTACAAGTGCTGGACAAGGTCCTAGGTCAAAGAACAGCATTCATATCCATGGCACAAGGGAACAGATCACAGGTAAGGGAGATCACTCTAAATGTCCAGTTAATAATTTTTACAAATTTTAAGCCCACTTTCATACTAGAAATTTTTCTTACTTGTGGATAAGAATTTTTCTCTAAACTTTTGTTTGAACATTAACCTGTTCAAGAACAGAAATTTTCATAATATGATATATTAGGGGTATTTCTTATGAGGAAAGATATTTTGATGAGCTAAAAAAATTGATCCTGATGTGTTACATCTAAGCATACAGAAGTGTTGAGTGAAACTCTCAGCTGGTCTTTGTGTCACATGAACGACATTTTCATTTCACTGTATACACATATTGAACATCTGCTGTGTATATTGTGATTTTGGCTCTAGTTTCTGTATACATGTATATTTTAATATTTCAGCCAAGCCCAACGCAAACACATCTCATCCTCAACAGCTCGGCATCATTCTTGGGATCACGATCGGTGTTGTGTGCATCATCATTTGTATCCTCATCGTTCTTCTCCGTAACAAGTAAGTCTACATTATCATCATTCTGTTCTGTAACACGTCAGTCTCCATCATTCTGTTTTGTAACACGTCAGTCTACAACATTCTGTTCTGTGACACATCAGTCTACATCATTCTGTTCTGTGACACTTCAGTCTCCATCATTCTGTTTTGTAACACGTCAGTCTGCATCATTCTGTTCTGTAACACGTCAGTCTCCATCATTCTGTTTTGTAACACGTCAGTCTACAACATTCTGTTCTGTGACACATCAGTCTACATCATTCTGTTCTGTGACACTTCAGTCTCCATCATTCTGTTTTGTAACACGTCAGTCTGCATCATTCTGTTTTGTAACACGTCAGTCTACAACATTCTGTTCTGTGACACATCAGTCTACATCATTCTGTTCTGTGACACTTCAGTCTCCATCATTCTGTTTTGTAACACGTCGGTCTGCATCATTCTGTTCTGTGACACGTCAGTCTACATCATTCTGTTCTGTAACACGTCAGTCTGCATCATTCTGTTCTGTAACACGTCAGTCTACATCATTCTGTTCTGTGGCATGTCAGTCTACATCATTCAGTTCCATGACATGTCTGTCTACATCATTCTGTTCTGTAACATATCAGTCTCCATCATTCTGTTACACGTTGGTCTACATCATTCTGTTCTGTGACATGTCGGTCTACATCATTCTGTTCTGTAACATGTCAGTCTGCATCATTCTGTTCTGTAACACGTCAATCTACAACATTCTGTTCTGTGACATGTCAGTCTTCATCATTCTGTTTTGTAACACGTCAGTCTGCATCATTCTGTTCTGTGACACGTCAGTCTTCATCATTCTGTTTTGTAACACGTCAGTCTGCATCATTCTGTTCTGTGACACGTCAGTCTTCATCATTCTGTTCTGTGACACGTCAGTCTTCATCATTCTGTTTTGTAATACGTCAGTCTACAACATTCTGTTCTGTAACAGGTCGGTCTACATCATTCTGTTTTGTAACACGTCGGTCTGCATCATTCTGTTCCATGACATGTCTGTCTACATCATTCTGTTCTGTAACACGTCAGTCTACATCATTCTGTTCTGTGACATGTCGGTCTACATCATTCTGTTCTGTGACATGTCAGTCTCCATCATTCTGTTCTGTGACATGTCTGTCTACATCATTCTGTTCTGTAACACGTCAGTCTGCATCATTCTGTTTTGTAACACGTCCGTCTACAACATTATGTTCTGTGGCTCGTCAGTCTTCATCATTCTGTTTTGTAACACGTCAGTCTGCATCATTCTGTTCTGTGACACGTCAGTCTTCATTATTCTGTTCTGTAACACGTCAGTCTACATCATTCTGTTTTGTGACATGTCGGTCTACATCATTCTGTTCTGTGACGTGTCAGTCTCCATCATTCTGTTCTGTGACATGTCGGTCTACATCATTCTGTTCTGTGACATGTCAGTCTCCATCATTCTGTTCTGTAACACGTCGTTCTACACCATTCTGTTACACGTCGGTCTACATCATTCTGTTTTGTAACACGTCAGTCTACAACATTCTGTTCTGTGACACGTCAATCTTCATCATTCTGTTCTTTGATACGTCAGTCTACAACATTCTGTTCTGTGACATGTCGGTCTACATCATTCTGTTTTGTGACACGTCAGTCTCAGGCCTCAAATTTAACATTTTTTGTCACTTGCTGAAAACAGCAAGTGCCTTAAATTTGTACTTGCTAAAATGACTTTTTACTCGCTATTATCGTGAATCTCCAAGTTCAAGTAATGTTTTTTGTTTTGTGATTCATAATGCATTACCTTGCTTCTTCCAATATATATCAACATTAAAGAAGAATTGCTTTGTCCCAATATTTACACTTTAAAAGTCAAAGCAATTTAATTCTGTGAAATGTTGGGAATAGACAGGCACTCACAGTTTGCATCTGATGAATCCACTTGCTTGAAAAAGCAAGTCATTATTTTTTCTACTCGCAATTCTTGGATTTCTACTTGGAAATAGCCAGTAAAAAGCCTTAAATTTGAGGCCTGAGTCTACATCATTCTGTTTCGTAACACGTCAGTATACAACATTCTGTTCTGTGACACATCAGTCTTCATCATTCTGTTCTGTGACACGTCAGTCTACATCATTCTGTTCTGTAGCACATACGTCCACATCATCATCATTCTGTTTCGTAATCGCAAATCTACATCAACATCATTCTGTTCTGTTACATCTGTCTACATCATCTGTATTTCATTTGTCCTCTGGACACAAAAATCTTAAAGTATTAGATGAGATTTTAGGTTGTTTTTTAAGATCAATTAGTTTTGTTTCCTGGTTACTGTGACACAAGTTTGTGGTGATTATTCTTAGTGAAGATTTTCTTGTCCAGTCATCTTTCATGTATTTGATTGCAAAATTTGCAGAAGTGAATCTCACGTGAAAGTGTGTTTTTGGCCTTCTGTTGATTCATTGGTTTGCAGTTCTATTGATCAGAAATTTGTGGACTGTATTAGTGGATATGGTTTTATCGTCACAGATAGGAATCTGTCAACTCACATCAGCAGAAGACAGTGTTGGCATCCTTTCATTTATGAAGCGATACTTTAACCAAAAACTGCGATGTTGATAATTTTGAACAATATCTGATTTGAGTTGACTTGAATGCAAACTTGGGGTTATCCTTTGATAAACATTTCAAATTATTTTTCAGGTGTTTCAATAATCCACCCCCAGGACATCCACATGTACAGGCAGTTCGCTCCCACAGAAACGGTCACATTCCAGGTCTGGGCAATGGACATGCTGTTCCAATGTCTGATAGGGAAATGGACCCTTATACGCCGATGCTTGATGGACACTACGAAAATCACCTGCTAGATTCAAAGGTTAGCCTGAGATATTTTAGTCACAGGAAACTGGAACTTTAGTTCTGTGTAGTTTACCAGTTTGAATTATTGTAGTTAACATACAGGAAAGATTTTTATGTTTATGGTCTTTGTTTTTGAGGATAAAATAAAATATTACTAGGATTTTCTTTATCAGACTTTACTAAGGACCAATTTTTTTTTTATTCTTATCATTTAATACTGAAATCTGGGTAATTTTTCATTGAATTCTAGGTATTTCTAGACTGAATTCTAGGTATTTCTAGACTGAATTCCAGGTATTTCTAGACTGAATTCTAGGTATTTCTAGACTGAATTCTTCGTTATTTTGCACTGAATTATTTTTAGTAATTTAACATTGAATTCTTCTTGGTAATTTTACATTGAATTCTTTTTAATAATTTTACACTGAATTAATGGTTTACACTGAATTCTTGGTAGTTTTGAACTGAATTATGGGTAATTTGCACTGAATTCTGGGTATTTTACTGAATTTTGGGTAGTTAAATACTGAATACTGCAGGGGATATATCTAGTTCCATATATTTTAGATTTTAAGCTGTATTAACATTAATACTTTGTCTCAAGATAGTAAGTTTTGACATAGTGTTTAGGACTATTCCAGTAACTAATACACCCAACAACAATAAGCTTTGAGGTGTTATTTTCAAAGATTAAAAAAATCCTTTAATTCCATGATTTTCATGAAAATGTCCATAAATTCAAATTTTATGCATAGTGTCAAAATATTTTACTATTGAAAATAAAATTTAAAAAATGATGTATATAAATCTATTAGGACATGAATTCCAACTTGATGGCTGCTGGGGAAAATATATATTTACATATTAAATGTTCTACAAATCTGGTTTGTTTTTCGCAGGTGAGGACTATTTCAAATACTTAGTTTGATTATCCATAATAATTGGTTTTTAGTTACTGAGTTGTTTGTTCGTAGTATGTCCAAATAGAGGAAGGGAGACAACTCTATTGAAAAACTGTAAGATGGACTTACTTGTTAATAATCCAAGGGAAGTAGGCCTAAAAATTGTAAACGTTTTTATTTATAGACATACACATAGCACCATACTGTTAACATTTCACTTTGGATTCTCAGAAACAAGTTTTCGATTCTCTGTATCCAATAGTTACAGACTTTTGATTGTTTTCAGGGATGTGGTAGTGGGAACATCATTGTAACGCCCAACGGTACAAGGGTGAACGGGTATGTGCCATTCTCCAACGGATTACGGAACGGTCATCTTCATAATGGTCATGTGACTACAGTCATTGGTTACCAGAATGCAAATCAGCAGGAGGTATGTACATTTATATCAACCAATCAAAATGAATCCCTGATCAGCATATGTTCAAATTTTGTTCCTGTTCTGACAAAAAATTGATACAGAATTTCAAAACTAAACTGAAAATGTTGTCACGCAGTTACAAAAGACTATTTTCTCAAGATTGAAAACATTTGAAGAAAAACTTCTCATTCCAAATTCCTTTTTCAACAACATCACATTTTATTTAAGTTTTACTAAAAAGTAAATTTTTTTTACACATGAACGAAGTATGAGTATGAAGTGTCTGTTACTTTCTGGATTTTCTACAGGAAACACGTGAGTTAATAGCAGCAATGTTAGCAAATGACGGGAATGCTGTGACAGATGATCGGAGTCATCTTTACAAACTAAGCAGTCCTGAAAGGTCATCTCTTGATGACATAGATAAAAGTATGAGTGGAACCGACTCCGACCAGAACACCTCGACTGGATCAGCTGAACTACCTCCAATGGCGTGTTGTCTTGACGATGGGACCACGGCATGTTGCCATGATGATGACAGTGGTTGTCATGGGGACAATAGCAGCTGCCCACTGGTAGGGACATATCCTCAGGAGGACAATGATGTCACACAGGCAAGACCTCCATTGGAGGTCGATACACAACAGGGAGTACGTCCTCCCGATCCCACGGGCTCGGTTCAGTGGGCAGCTAATGGTTCTGATGACCACTCAGATGGTGGGGGGCGTGTCCACAGTGCAAGGCACGCCCCTCAGGCGCAGCTACCTCCACGGGCAATGCCCACAACCTCTGCTTTCTCCAATGGGGAAGACAACAAGCATCAATCTTCTACCTCAGTGAGCCCCCAGGCAACTTCTACCTCATTAGATGCAAGGGGTATGGACATTACAGTTTCCCAAGCGAAGGAGAAGGGGCCCTCCAATTTGGCTCCTCAGGGGACACCTACCTCAGGGAAAGGCAGTCCTGTAGTGAGGCCTATCCATGAGAATACCTCTTCATTTCAACCTAACAACCTCGCACCGTCGGCAGCGGTGACCGTCGTACGGGGAAACGACAATCAGTCACGTCCGTCGCGCGTCCAGGGCAATATGTCCTCGAGCCCACGTGTCCCTGGGGTCAGGGGGTCGTACCAGCAGCCTCCCCCTCCCCCATACCCTGGTCCCCGGGACCTAGCAATGCATCATATACCTCAGGATTCACTCAGGCGAGACCACAACGCGGTGGCAGCAAGGCAGGCGTTTCAGGACGTTGCCGTCTAAGTGTTAAGATCCGCATACCAGAAAGGGAAAAATGTTTGTGATTTTTTTTCATAGTGTTCAGACAAACTTTATGGAAATATGGGTTTTAATAGACTAACATAAAAAATATTTGTTTTCATGCGGAGAGCTGTTAAGAATGAAATGTGACAGAACTGGACCTTGTGAATATTCAGATGGATAGAAACCAGGAGTAAGTTGAATACTTGATTGAGGGATCAAATATTCAAGAGAAGATAACTTAATGTTAGATTTACTCACCAGATGGAGCCATGTCTTACTGAATCGATTGAGCCATCTCGGTTTGGAAAATATTGCACGAGACTTCCAGAATGTTATCACTACAACTCAAGACTTTCTGAGAATGAGATACATCCATCTGCAGCTCGTGGTACTGAAAACAGAAACAAATTTGATATTCGGAAAAATGCGGGTACTTAAGTTTCCTCCAAATATGTTTATGATCTTATTTACACTATTGTTGCTATGGTTACGGTACAATGTGGACATTAATACCAAAACCAAATTTTTATTCAAGATTACCTCTTTTTAAAGTGAATGGCGTTGTTTATATATATATCTATATATATATATATATGTGTGTCATCTCGGTGAAATGTTTTTTTTTGTATATAACTTGAGACAGACAGTGACTGGCAAGATATTTCATTACTGTGACAGTTTCCATGGTAATGCCATTTTCAAAACAGATTACTATATTATGAATTAATTGTATATGTACATTCATGAACCTCAGGGTAGGAGGGAGGGATGCGGTGCTCTGGAAAATGCTGAACCTTTGGAACCGAGACAGGATTAGTTTGTCTCCCAAAGTCAGCAAGTGAATGCAGATACTGGGTGAGTGCCCCTATAGTAAAAAGAGAACAATTTAATTTGTTCTTGAGCTGCATTGGATAACCAAATGGATTCAGTGTTCTTAATGCTAGGAAAAGTGAGCAAACCATACAGACGATTCACCCAAACAACAAAATCGGCTGGATGTTTTAAAACTAGGCACCTACAGTGAAAAGGTTGAAGCATGTGTTATTTCGGCTTTGTGAGTGATATGGCCAAGGGAGGAGAATTTATTTTGTCAGTGCTATCAAATTTTAGTCTACTGAATGGAGTGTTCGTTACAGATTGGTTGCCAAAATAAGGGGATATCGGAGTCAAATTTTGGGAACCAGCTGGAATTTTTCACCGATCATACATCGTTATTTATAGATAGAAGATTTACAGAGGAACGACATCAAAAAACAAGTATGCACAAAGTGAACAGTTAAAATTTACAAAGCTGTTGATAGAAGCAGAAGGATATTACCACATCTGTAGATTTTTTCGAAGAACAGATTCTTGTGGAAGAGTTCAGAATCAAGGGGAACAATTCTAATGTTACTTTTACCATTTACCCTGGAATACAAAATAATTTATTGTCATTTTTATGTTTTTTATAACTAGAAGATAGAAACTTGTTCTTCCTTTATAGTTATGTTTGAACTCGGACCAGATATAAAGCTGTCTGAGCTTTATATTGAAATTCAGGGGCTTTAATATTTACATTTACGGGTTTCATTTTCTGACTTTAAATTTTCAAAGAATTTTAATGTTTACACACTAATTCTTTGTCTGACTTTTTAAAAAAAATTCATTTCAAAAGCGTTTGAAAGTGGCTCAATCCAATTTTAGATGTTGCATGTTTTGAAAAACAACAATCAACTGATGCCCTTGAGATCAGTACCCTTAAAGCAGAAAGTCTCAGAGAATTGTAATAGTTCAAGGGATAAAAAAAAAGAAACACTCTAAAGATTGTTTTAATATTTTTGATGTTAATTATGTACCTGATAGTGCTATTTATTGACCCTCCAATATATCAAACTTAACCTTTGATTTGTAATGGAATAGCCTGACCAACATCAATGTTATAGTTGATTAGTTTATTCCATTTGGTATGAAAGGGTGACAAGGTTGACATATTTCAATAATTTCTAGAAACTCTAGCCACATATCTGTCCAAGCACACAATGTTTGGTGGTTAGCAAAGGGAGTTAATTCTGTTAGAATTTATATCTTAAGTATTAACTTATGAAGTGCTAATGAATGAGATGAAATGTTTGATTTGGCATTGTGTATTAAAACATCATTTGATGTTTTGTTCTCGTAAACAACATTTACGATACTACATAAAACATTGTTTATGGGGAAATTCAAGTGATTGATTTAAAAAAATCAAAGCAACACATCTTCTGTTTTTTAATGCCATCGCAAAAATATTTGGGGGCACAATGAAGTCAAGAAGTTATATTATCACCATCATTTATATAAGTTTTGGAATTTTCTATGCATTTACTAGCTGCATATAGAATTGTACTCATGATATCAGAAGAAAGCCTACCAGAGAGAACTGTTCTTTCCTGGATTATCATTTTAGATGGAAAGCTGGTGACAGAATTACAGGGAAACTGATCATTTCTAATCCTGAATAATTTGAAATCGATTCGGATGATAATACAATTTTCCTTTGTTTTTTGTTTTTGTTTTTTCTCCCTCAGCCTCCAAAATTGAAATAAATGAGAGCCAAGTTACCACAGTAACCATTAATGTTACCAAGGCCTATAGTTAAAAAGGGAGGTAAATAACGCTAAACATTGTTGTATTTCAATATTTAAATTTCTTGAGAAAATTGTGCAGACTTGGTGAAGATCAGAGAGTATTTGTAGATTAGAAAATTACTGAAGGCAACCTGCTCACATTGTTGTTTGTTTCTTGTGAAAATAATTTTTTTTATTATTCATTTTTTGCTTTCTACGACAGGAACGAGCTTATCCCGGTGAAATCATGCTCAGATATTACTGTTACCAAGTACAATGTGACTTGTTTTGCCAACGATGTTTACAAATATGTAGAGTTTACATTTTGTGTTTTATATATGTATATATATTGAGATATTTAGGGTATTACCTGATAGAGTTTCTCGTTTGCTTCTAATGTTGTTGAATTGTGTAAAACATCTCCTGCTTTTCACCAAGTAGGTTTATTATTCGTGCCCTTTTCATTAATTTCATAAGATTCTGTTTTTCATAAAAGCTGAAAGAAAACATAATGTGTAAAGAGCTCCATGCAACTACATGCAATAATTTTTTGAAAAATCAATTTTCAGATATTGATGTTCAGGTGGACTGGTTTCAAACAAAGAGATTATCAAGTTTGTTCAATGAATGACCTTGACCCACTTGCCTGGCAATAGGGTAGAAATACAATAGAATTTCTAGAATAAGGGAAACAGGATCTTTGAAAAACAATTTAGAATACAACAATGTTTGACGTTGGGTACAAGACCTTTGTTTCTTGACATTTTCTAAGGGCAGCTCACTCAAAAGAGGCAGAAAATTTACAAACTATTTCACAAATTATTACCATAGCAACTGCCTCCATGTAGTAACTATGAAATTGATGGATGTTGTGCATTTTAGATCATTAAACCAATAGTTCTACCCAAATCCCTGTACCTCCTAAAAAACTAAAAAAAAAAAAAAAAAGAGAGAGAGAGAAAAATTAGCTTCCTCCCCACATGGAGAACAACAGTTAAGAAGGTTCCCTGATGATCAATCTCCAATAACCAAAAATGAAATGAATAACAATTTTTTTTAAATGAGAAACTTTCAGGGAAAGTTTTGATATTTGAATCTCTATAGTGATTCAGAAATTAAAATTTGTGTGACAAACCTAAAAATTAATTTTTTTGATGGAAAGAAAATGTCTTTAGTCTGTAATTTTTGTGAGGAGGGAGTAAGATGCTTGTTATAGTATCTAATGATGGATTATTCACTCGGTGACCAGAAAAACACCACTCATTATAAATACACCATGCAGTAGACAACTCTTGTAGTTAGATATAATGTTATCTGTTTGGTCCTATGTATCGTTTTTGTGTGATATTTTTTACTGCAATACTTTTCAATACAGGTGTTGATTTCCATAGTGTTCATGACCATATTTGGTAAATTTGATATTTACACCCAAACAATACCGTACTACCTTCAAATTGAAATCTTTTTAATTGGAACTAGAATATTTGTAACAGGTTTCCATGAAAAATTTCATTAGTGTCGAATGGCATTTTCTTTCATTTTTTTTCCCCCAGAAACATCAACAATTTTTATGAATAGTTTGGTGAATTTTACGTTGATGAATTAATTCAAACCAGATTTTCATTAACAGACCAAAATTAAAGATCGTAAATGAAGTGTTATACCAGTATATTTCATAGGTCAAGTAAAGAACTATTTCTAAGTTCCTTGCTGCACTAAGTGGATGGTTTGCCTACTAGATAGAAAAAGTGTGGCTTTATTCTTTTTTTCTTCTTTTCTACCGAACTCTATACATGAGGAAAAACGTCATAGGTTAAATGATGAACATGTTTTGTGATATTGGCATGTAAAGGTTTGATACTGGAATATTTTTCTGACAACTACCGTAGCCACAGGAACTTGCCATAATTAGGTCACACTATCTGGTTTTAATCAACATTAATGTTTATTTGTGTTTTAGATTAATCATGAGAAATTTTCCAAAACAAATTTTAACTTGAGAAAGATTTTAATTGTAATTTGGACAAAGTTTTTTAACCTTTGACCTTGTTTACAAGAAAAAGTCATCTGACAAAACTTTTTAACCTTTGACCTTGTTTACAAGGAGAGGTCATCTGACAAAACTTTTTAACCTTTGACCTTGTTTACAAGGAAATTTTGATTTTATCTATTTAGATTCTACAGAAATATTCTACTGTTGTATGAATGGTTCTTCCTTGTGGAGAAAATTAGTTTTGAATGTCGAACTGTTTCTTTAAATTACCTTTTTAGCCTGTTGGAAATAATGGCCTAACCCAGTCATTAGCCGCTATTGTGTGGATTGTTTCAAAATTATAAGGATTGGTATGAAGATCTATCAACCCTGTGGAAATTGATGGACTGATCCATTCATTATGACACAATTTGTTTGGAATG